AACAGATAATAAATGTTTGCCTTCACTGAAGATGGGCATTTACAGGGGTCTTATCTGGAATCCAGAGCTCCCCATAAGAATACTGTACCTCATGCACACAGGCACACACCACAAGACAACTACACTCTCTTGTCAAGTCACACTCAATTAGAACAAAATGTTGGCCAGGATGTTCTCTAAAGAGAAAGAAGAAGCTAAAGCAACAAAAAAGAGCTGCCTTTTTTGTTGGGGAGATAGGTTGTGGGTTTTTTTGGAGTTGTTTGGTTTTTAAAATCATCCTCCCTAAAATGCTGTTAAAATATACCTACAAATCCCTCATCTGTCCAAAAAACCCCAAAGACAACATCAAACCTGTTCTCTCTTGCTACCAGTTCAGCTACACACTGGCATTACTTCTTTATGCATTGGCTCTCTCCTCCTTTAAAAACAGTGGAAGGGGAAGAAATAACAATAATCTTCTTAGTGTTGTAATTAGAAGACTTAGAAACTTAGGATAATTTCTTTAGAGAGTAGTTGTTTACAGTGCACAGAGAAATAGCCTTGACACTTCAAGAATTCCCAAAACAGAATCTGAAATGCAAGTTAGAAAATAAAATTATTTTCAATTTTTTAACATATCATTTTCAAGTTTCTTAACATTTAAGGTTTTTTAAAAGCTAAAAATATCTCTTCAGAAACAAATTAAGGAGAGGAAATGTGTGCTGTCTAAATGCTCCACCCAGAACATACTCCCTCTGCAGACTACAGGGACAACCACCAGCCAAGCCTACTTGCACCTTCACAACCAGCACTTTAAGTGCAGATTCTTTAGAAATACAGGATTCCATGTTCCCTGGCCAGAAATAAAGAGCCCATAATTAGGTAAATGCTCATGCAGCTTGAGACAAATAAATTGAATTAGCAAATGAGACAGATTTGTTTTGAAATAGGTTTTTCATTTTACTGTGAAACAGAAAGGAGACAACCTTTCTACACTCAATGTCTGGTCACCTTATGGAAAAAGTTGAGCTCACAGCTAAGGGGTACACTGAAAACCAAATTAGATGAGATTCCAGATGTGCGCAGAGCCTCAGTCCTTGATCTGACAGAGAAACTATGTGGGCGCTTGCTGAAAATAAAGATATAAAATAACAGCACACAGTGCTTTTGAGTTTGGTTATCTAAAAGTCTGTTCACGTCACATGTTCCTCCAGAGTTGTGTAAAGGGACATCCTTCAGCTGTAAAGAATCATCAACCTCTGAAGTGACTGCTTCTTCTTCAGCAGCCAATTCTGCTGTAGCTTGGGAAATTCAGAAAGCCCAAAGCTGCAGTGTGCTGCTTCTTTGCTGCCACCTGCATCTATCCCCATGCCTTCTGCAAGACATGGTCAGCTCCATGCTGGAGCACCCACAGATACAACACTGGCTGAGCACCCACTGGAGCAGGATGCATGCCTGAGAACAGGATGGAATTCATCTTCCCCATAAATGGAGCTATGGGAGAAATGGCAGATAGGTCAGCTGGAATACTGCCTGAAAGTTTCTGTCTGTCTACCACCATTAATTTTCATTTAACAGCAAAAGCTATCCAAACCAACTGGTATTACTAAAATACTCAATACAGATCTAAATATTCTGAGTACAGAAGATGATATAACTATGACTGAGGTCATCTGCTGCAAGCTGCTTTCAAGATTAAATAACAAACACCTCAAGGGCAAAGAATTTTAAATGGTTACCACTAGGTGAGAATTAGTGAGAGACCACCCTGTTTCAGTTCAGACTGGAGTCCAGTGAAAAAAGTAGGCTGTCTTTACAGTAAGGAATCATATGCAGCACTTTACTATCATCTTAAAAAACCCAAATGATCATATTCAAGCATCTAATAGTTTGTTAAGATATGTAAGAGAAACACAGCAGTTGCTATGCAATAACAATAAGTTAGGTTTAAACTAAGTTTACTGAACATGACCAAGAATGAAAGTCCAATTTTCCCACTCCTATTAACTGAAACCTGCCAGCAAATATTGAAGTCTTATGTTGTTGCAGTTCTAGAATACCAATTTCAGAGTTCGCATTTCTGCAAATAGAGTATATTTCAGAGACCATCAGACAATAAACACCTCCCCACATGGGATTCTATGAAAAAAATAAAACATGAATGCAAATGGGTTATGCATGTGGAAGTAGGTACATAGCCAGTTTAGTCTGCAGGCTAAAAGAGATGAAATTACATTTTGTCAGCTACAGTTTCTCTTACATGGTAAAATATGGGTAGGTTTGTTAAGAAGTTTGTTCCTACATTGAATAAACTGTGCCTCAGCTCCCAGTGCCAGTAAAAAAAATAATTTTGTGATAAACGAAGGATTAGCTTTTTAATAGTTAAAAAAGTACAATGACACAGAACAAGATTACTGGGGATAGTACCAGGACAAACAGAGATAAGCCCTAAAAAAATCTTAGATTAATTAAAACATAAGGCAGCGCAGTAGTTTTTAAAGCTTGCCTACACTTCTTTTAATACATATAGATTGTTTTAAGTTCAAAAGGCTGTCTGGAGGTCACCCAGTTGCTCACAAAGAACAGATGCAACAAAACTGTATTTGCTCAGGGTCTTGTATAGATGTAGGTATAAAAGCCTACTACAATATTGGACCTCACAGATGAATG